TTTTTTCAGGCCTGCGGGTGTGTGCAGGCTGTGCTTGATTGGCATCTACTTCACAAATTTACCCCCAGGAATCAATTAAGTATTTCTGATTCTGATCTTCTCACTCTAAGGTGCACTTGTTAAAGGTGACTTAATACATTTTTTCATCCTTATTGGTTTTTCGATCATGTAAATCCCTCATAGCTCAGTGTAATTTCAAGCAGAGTCGAATCAGGCAGGATGATTGAAAACACCAGTGTGGTTTTCAAGGATTTTAAGAAGTGTAATTACATGTTATTGATGAAGTATACACAGAGCAGAGTTTCACTTTAGATCAGTGAATTGTCAGATTAATCACGTGTCATCTTTATGATAAAGTGGAATAACAGGCTCATGTATTTTGGAGAATATTAGGTTTAACAGTCTAGTTAAACAATCTGTTGAGAGCTTCGTCCCTGCTGTTTAACAGTGTGCTTTGTAATAGCATTTATGGGATAAAGATATATAAAATTCCTAATTAACTTAGTGCCAGCTCTGTCCAACATCTAATATTCACAGATCCGATTAAAGTAGAACATTATCAATTTATTCTTAAATTGAATAGGCTCAAGGGAGGCCCCAATAGTTCTTTAGCTGCTGAGATACCCCTACCAGAGGTAGAACAAAGCACAACAATAGTTTTTATATATTAACCGAGGTCTCCCATATATGAAATGGATTCTTGTATAAAAATATTTTACTGCAAAAGTGGTTAAATTGACACATATTGGGACACACCCCATACATGAAATAAGTGCAAAATAAAGCCTGTCAGAATGGGACATGATACACCTGAACCCATGTAATTTCATAATACAAGCTCTGATTGATTACAATGTAGGTGTGGAAGTGGGCAAGGGGTTCCTCTACAAACACAGAAGTACAACTGGCGGAAATATCCAATTTTAAGATATAAAATTTGATATTTAAATACCAGTTAAACCACTTTTGCAGTCAAATTTTTTAAAATATTTTTATACAAAAATCCATTCAATATATGGTAGACCCTAGAGAATAAAAAAAAAAAACACATTGTTGTGAATTGTTAGGGGTGCCTTCCCACTGTCCCAGCAGTCTTTGGTAGTTAGTGTAAACCTGAGTGTTTACTGGCCTCCAGTGGCCACAGTGAGGAATTACAACACTAAATCATTATAAATACCTATGTAGAAGTCATTATTTGTAAGTTACAGCGGTAACATTACTATTGGTGGTCGCTGTGTTAGTAAGGAGCCGTTTTAATGTCAGTTTTCTGGTGTGGTGACTTCACTGCATGACAACTTTTACTTTTACTGTGAGGGGCTGTATAACGCCGCGGCGGCAGTGTGGAGCATCTTTCTGCACCTCCTGCAGCTGCACTGATGCTCTCTGCGGTATGGTGCTAATGAAATCACAATTAAAAGCAAGAAGACTTCTCAGTGGCAACCAAAACATCCGTCTGCTGCACTGAAGTCACCGAGAAACCGGCAAGACGAAGGCTTTGTTTTAGTTTCCCTGTGAGGATGTCATCTGAAAATGCTGCGTCATCTGAAGGTATGTCGATTACTGCTACCTCACCAAGTTGGTGAGCAGGACAGCATCGTGCCAGTGCACTGTAGGCTGATATACACATATATAATATAATATAATATATTAGTCATTTCAAATATGAATATATAAAATAAAATAGCCCATACAACATAAATCAGCCAAAATATGATCTGAAATCTTAAATACTCCCTAAAAAATGTAAGTATGTTTTATGTTAGTATGTGCTTTACATATGCTAGACTGCCATATAATTATGAAAAGATAATAATATACACGTACTATGACTAATTTTACCACAGTGCGTGAAGCATCACCTCCTTCAACAGAGGCCGATGGAGCCCTGAGGATTGTCCTCTTGGGGAGGACAGGGACGGGCAGAAGCTCCTCGGGCAACACCATCCTGGGCAGGTCCGCCTTCTGGGTCGACGTCTCCCCCAGTTCTGTCACCACACAGTGCCAGAGGAAGACTCTGACGGTGGACGGGCGGAGTATCTCTGTGATCGACACTCCAGGTTTCCTCCACACGCACCTGTCCCCTGAGGAGGTCTTGGCAGAGGTGGGACGGTGTGTTGCCCTGTCCTCTCCGGGACCCCACGCCTTCTTGGTGACCCTGCAGCCCGGCAGGTTCACCCAGGAGGAGAGGGACGCCTTGGAGTGGATCAAGGCCACGTTTGGGCCCGGAGCCGCCAGGTTTACCGTGTTGTTGTTCACCTGGGGAGACCAGCTGCAGGGCAAACGCATCGAGGACTTCCTGGAGGAGAGCGACGAGCTGTCGGAATTTGTCAGAAGCTGCCATGGGGGGTATCACGTCTTTGATAACAGTGAACAGGTCAAGACAGCGGAGAGCCCACAACAGGTCGTACAGCTTCTGAAGAAGATAGACAAGATTGTGGCGGATAACGGAGGCGGTTGCTATAGCAACGAGATGTTCAAGGAGGCTGAAAGGGCCATCAGAAAGGTACAAGAGAGGATCCTGGTAGAAGGAGGACACAAGGTGGAGTCCCTTCAGAGGGAGGCTGAAGAGAAGCAGGGGTCACAGTTAGAGAGGAGGGAGGAAGAAGAGGCCAGGAAAAGGGCTGAGAGGCTTTTCTGGTCCGAGCTGGTGACTGCTTTGGGGAGAGGTGCAGCAGAGGGGGCAGGGATCATGGGGAAAGACAAAGAGAAAGGGGGGAAAGCTGTGAAGAAGGTGACGGTGGTGAAGAAGGCAGCAGCTCTGGCAGCATCGCCGCTCTCCATCCGCTCAGCAGCAAGAGCGGTGGAGGGAGCTGTGAGAGAAGGCAGTAAGGTGCTATTTAAACACAGGAAAACTTTACTGAACTGAGGGAGGCTGACTCTGACTGTTCAATGAGGAGTTGTCAGGAAACACAGTGGAGCCTATGGTCAACATAGAGGTGATGTGTGAAAGGTCACTTAGCTGTTTTTTCACTGTGCATCATCCATCTAATGTTATCAGTCTATGTTTAATACCAGCACAATGCATCAGCACATTCAGACCATACTGTTAAAGAAGAATATATGTGTGTGGGGGTGTTTGTGTGTGTGTGTGTGTTTATGTGTGGTCCCTACAGTTAGGTAAACAACCTGGTGTAAAGTTGTTCCCATACCGATACCAGTATTGGAAATTCCTCCAGTACTTCCTAAAATGCGGGATATATGCGAGAACATGTGTCCCCGGAATGGGATCCTGCTGCTTCCCAGCAGTGTCCTGTCTGCTGTTTTCCCCCACGGATAGCGTAATCATCACCTGCTCTACTGACAGTAAAGTACAGGTATCGGTATCAGGAAGGAAAAAATGGTGGTGTGTTGCAGTCCATGTGGATTAGTAACAAAGAACACAGACACATCTCTGAATTTAAAGAATTCACGTTATAATAAATGTCACGTCATAAAAACTGGTGTGCAATTCAACTTACTGTGAACAATGCAACACACTCTCAGGCCATTTCCCCACTTTTCATCCCTGACACAAGACAGTTGGATCAAGGAAAGACAAAAACACTGCAGCAGATAATCTGTTCCATCTTTGGCTTCATTTAAGACATGACAATATCTAAATATAAAAGACAATGATTAAGAGGAAATACAAAAAGGAACATACTTTGAAACAATTTGCCTGTAGGGAGTGTCTAACATTACAGAACCAAAGAGCAGGACAATTTGTGGAAGATTACAGAGTACAAATTTACAGACTACAATATTTGTCATTACTGCAAAATTAATCAGGCAAGACTCAGTTTGCCAAACGTGTGGTGGGGATCGGATAAAGTGTAGGAACCTTTGACATGTAACTCTGGGCACTCTTACAACTTGAACACAGCAAACACTGGGTCTGTATCTGTACTGTGTGGAGACTGAAGCTACACACACTCTACATGAGCGCTGTACGTAAAAGCTACAGCCGACCTCATTTACACTGTTGTGGATTCTAACAGTCTCCAGAGCCAAAGTCTCTCTCAAGTAAAGACAAATACATAGTTTCCATAGGGTTACTCACTTGCCTGAATTTAAGTTGTGCACATCAGGGACACATTTCCAGTGTCACATTTGCATCTTATGAAGGAAAAAAAAAACAAAAAAACAAGCATACAGAAATATTCTCACACACACACACATATACAGACTCACAAAGTACCAATCAGGCAGAAAATCCGTTTCTAGAGGTGCACTCAATTCAGTCTACAGAATGATGTCCGACCATTAGTCCCATGGCTAAATAAATGTACAGTTGAAGGGCGAGGACTGTGTTCAGATGCTGGACTGCAGCAGGCACCAGCGGGTGGCTGAATTCGGCGCAGACGTCTGATATTAAACGGGCATCGGCAGGCTCATCTTTCCTCTTCCCCGAAGTACTGCAGGCAGGACGCAGAGGGAGAACAAGGCAAGCGTGACCACAGTGTTTGATTTTGAAACCACAAAATTCTACTTTGTGAGCTAACACTTTAACTGCTGCCAAGAAGGACATCCTCCTCAACTGCAAAAGCAGGATTCAAAACGGGTGCCAAAAATGGGGCCAGTAATAATGTAGTTCCTAGTACCATCTTAACAATACAATACAAAGGTGTTTGTTTTGGCCCGTGGGGAAAAAAGGGAAAAAGTTTGGGCACCGCTTATTTAACTACAACTATTAAAAACACACTTACAGTAGTTGTTTGACTAATAAATGTGCAGTTAATTAATTGCCAATTAACTTTCTTGGTCATTTATCAAGACAAATACCAAACATTCACACAAACAAAAGATGTAAAATGTATTTAATTAATTAAACTTAACTTAATTATTTAAAAGTCAGTACATTTTTAGCTATAAAAGGCTTTGTTAAATTATAATGAGCATTTGTCATTCTTTTTGATATTTCAAAGATGAGGTAAATCATGATTACTCTATGAGCTCTACGGATTAGGACTATAAACTATAACACTACAAATAATTATCGATTATGTCAACAATCAAAAATTCTCCCACAGATCACAGCCACAACTAACAGTTTATATACTAAATCACCCCCCTTTGCAGTAGCCCTTACTCACCCCTTGTGACGTATAGGTAGAAGAAGTCGCAGTAGAAAATGGTCTGCACGACGCCGGACACCACGGCGATCTGGTCGAAGAAGCCCTCGGTGTGGTAACGCCACACCCAGTTGGCTATGTAGAGGGCTCGGTAGAGGCCAAGGAAGAACAGGTAGTGGGTGGTGATGGACTCCGCCTCGCCGGTCTTGGTGATCATGAAGAGCTGCGGCATTATGGCCACCGCCTCCAGGAAGATGGAGAAGGTCCACAGGATCTGAAGGGAATCAGCAGGAGGGAGACACATGAGAAGAGCTGCACGGTTTGGGCGGCTGATAAGTGCACCAGTAATAAAAACTGTACTTAAACTCACCATAAAGCCCTCAAGATGCAATGTTATACACCTGGAGTGATCTTATGATACAAGAGCTTTAAACCTTTCCACCTGGACCCAAACTGGATTGAAGATACTGTCGGAGCGCTTACCTCCATAGGGTTGAATGCATAGTTTTCCAGGAAGGACAGCCCGATGACTGGCACCAACAGGAACTCCACTCGGAAGGTGTCGTTCTCCGAGTCATACGCGTTCCTGAAGCGCATGTAGATCAGGTACACGGTAGCATAGGACAGAGACAGGAACACCACCTGAGAGCGGAGGCAAATGTTGAACTTCAGCCCTCATTGATCCAACACTGACACACTGTTAGTGAAGTTTACACTGAGCACATGGGAGGCATCTGGAGGGAAACTGTGGACTTTAAACTAGTGGCTTATCTAACAAAAAACATCCTAACCTGCTGCCTTACCCTGAATTATGGTAAAAACTGGTTGTGTTCTGGGTTGGATGTGTGAAACTGTGCTTGAGCTACACTCTTACCTTCATGACCGTGTTGTAAGGGGAGATGAAGACCGTGAACAAGTCCAGGTACCTGGTGGTGAAGACAAGTGCAAACAGCACCTGAGACTTCCCAGAAATACCTACAGAGGGGAAAGAAATAGTTTAATCTCTGCCTAATGTGCAGTCAACACTTCACACAAGAACGACTAGTCCAGGACAGATCTCAGATACCAGCGCAGACTCAGATATGGACACACGGATATAAAGAAATGTAGTGACATGGCATCTGTGCTGCATAGTTTGCTTTGAAGGTGTAGGCTGCTGTATAATAGGTGGAGCAGGCAGCTGATTGCTTTGTTAACACTGCCACGTCGCTTCCACTTCTGCAGGAGCACTCAGCATCATGCAAATCCCCTGACTCTATCTATCTATCGTTTACAGCTCAAGTTCATGCAAGTCTCCGTGTGGTGTTCAGTGATGTTCAGTGTGAGCATACCAGCACAGGACTTGGACTTCCATATCTTCAGCAACAGGATAATGATAGCCACCAGGTGTGACACGTCACCCGCCAGACGAAAGATGTTCATGTTGTTTATTTTCCGCCTCAAAAACAGTAAAAACAACTCCTGCCGGGCCTTACGCGTCCTCGGGAGACAGGGCAGGGATGTTCAGCCGCACACACACACACACACACAAAAAAGCGAGAGAGTACAAACACGAGACGAGTTAGAAAAAGCTACAGAGAGAAGGAGATAGCGGGTCCGACTACTATCTGAACACACAGATAAACAGGTATGAGTGCACTCATTCGCTCAGCTGGGTCTGCACTGTAGGAAAGTTGCTTCAGAGGAGGTGACGTGGCTGACAGCTCGCACAGCGTCAAGCTAACCGGGATCAAACGGCTGTATCCTGTTCCGGTTCGGGTTTTTCAAAGTAAAACTCGCATGAGTCAACAGGCGGTCTTCTGTTTATAATTAACCACCATTATATATGAAGCTGACCTGTTTTGTGATTGAGTCTATTAAATATCTGACGTCGGGGGATATTTTCAGGCGAATCGTTGTTTTAAAGGATTTAGCTGTTTTATTTGGAAGATAAAATCCCACATTTCCGGTGTTGACTTTCTCTGGCTACCTTGACGCACATGGGAGGACTAGTGGCTGCTGGGTTGTGGGCAGTGGCAGTATGTGGGCCATCCTCAAGAAGCACAGCCCTGATTAAACTGCAGATGGCGACAGGCTGTAGGCAATGAGGAATAGGATCCTGGTCCAGCACTTGGGGAGTTTCCTGCTACCTTCTCTCCCACTATTATTTCCTGCTAGCCTGTACCTTGGGTCACCCGAGGGAGTTTGGTATCAGAGGGCTTTAAACCCCTTTTTTGGGGCATGTTTCCGGTGAAAGCATCTAAATGTAAATATAAAAGTACTACAATTGTATTAATAGTCATACAAGTAAGAACAGGGAGTATCTAACATAAGATCATTTAATAAGGTAATTGCAACTGCAGCCACTGTGCAGTGACACATGCATATAGGCCATTACTGCAACAGGATGTGGGATTTGGTTGTAGAGCTAGATTATAAAATACTGGTTACTAGAGGTTGCTCTACTTTTTTGAGGTTTGAGTATTCATTTGTTGCATATTATGACATCATTAAACAGACTTTATTCTCTCCGCAACCCCAAACCATGACTGACTGGATCAACACACAAGTTCTTTGTAAATTAGAGCAAAAAAAGAACTGAAATAAATGTCCTGAAATCAGAACATTGTCTCTATTTCTCAGTCTCAGATTACTCTTGTTTCTTCCAGTAAACAATATTGGGAAATTCTAAGGAAATCACAAACTATTTACCTCCAAACATTAAGGTCCAAAAACTGTTTAAAGGACTCACATATCCAGGAATAAAATTCAGTTTTCTTTATCGATTAATTTAGTTGGACTCGTAGTCCATTTTATACATTTATCAGATTGCAGTGGAGGTAGTGGAGGGATGACAGGACCAAGGGAGAGAGAGATTCAAACTGGAGACGTTGCACTTCATGGTTAAGCTAAACCACTTGGTTGGTATCTCTTAGAAACATTTTAAAGTTCTTCCTCTAAACCTTAAACATTCATCATTATCAATCTTTCACTTATATCTTTGTTTTGAGTCTTCTCCAGCCGTGTGATGAACCGTTTCTATTTGTGTCATTTAAATGAGACTGAGATGTGTTTTTAGAACGAACATAAAAGCTTTTTTTTCTCTGCACAGAAGGCCATACAGGCATACAATGGCACGCATTTGCCTCCTCCATTTTATGATCCATATCCAACCTTCGCTACCATGTGTGCATATGATTTTCAGTGTTTTAAAATACTCTCCACCCTCTGTGTCTTCCCTGTCTTCTGGTGCTTCCGCTCCACCTGCCTCTCTTTCCTCCTAATTCTGCAATCT